TGCACAGTCACTTGTCAAAATCTCCTGAGATCGGACCGAGCATGCGCTTTGAACTCTCCAATCAACCTATAAAGGGTTCATACTCCAATAGTGCATTTGAAAAAAAGTGTACACAGTTAGGTTGCTGTAATAAGGCCAACAGAAATGTATAAAGGGCAATAATCTATACAAACCAGTTAGCAGTTACCTTACTTACATTCTCACGGCTCTAAACTCATGAAAAGTGAAATCTGATTGGTGGAGATAAATGACTGTCCTTTGCACAACCTGCTTATTCATTGTACTGCCTTATATACAGAATATATTGATTCCTTTGTGTATGTACTTTTTAAATAGATCTCCATATATTTGTTTCTAACATACCTTATTAACTGTCTAATATTGTTTACTGCAAGTAGGAATGAATGAAAACAAAAGGAAGTGAATGTAAGTTGGTGCTTCTTCTAATGTCATATTGCAGTGTTTTACATTTATATTTTAGATCAGGTCTTTGAAAATGTGAAATATGAACGATTTAAATAAACGTTTAGTAGAATAGCATATATACATATACATTTATCAAGGGGTATTCCGTTTATCTTATCTCTTATTATTACATATCTCTCATTATCTAGAGTATCATTACTGCTCACCTCTCATTCATACAAAGGCCTTAGGCTCATATTTATTAAGTAGTCTTCAATATGACAGCTCCAGCAATAAAAGGCTTCTTGCAGCCCATTAACTTGAATGAGCTGTAAGGTGTTAAGGAGAAGGAAGAAAGACTATTTAGTAAATGTCTTGTGCTCCACTAATTTGGGAGGGGGTGAATCACTTTGTTTGAATATAAGCTCATTTATGTTACATCGGTTATTTATGTTCTTTTAGACTTGATGGGCTGGATGAGCATCATGGGACATAAAATGAACCAAAAGCAGATGAGCTGCACGTTACGTTATATTGTCTACATGGCTGTCTAAAGCATATTACTTTTCACTGCCTATGTGTATAACATATTACATATTTTTGTCACAATATGGAAAATATTATATGGCAATGACTGAAAATATTGCTTGCAAAATATTGTTCTAACAGTTTATTTTAAAGCTCAGTCCTGGGAATTGTACTTTTTTTTGTACTTTTTTCTGATGTCTTCTGGCCAGTAACTTGACACATGGAGGTTGATTTACTAAAACTGGAGAGTGCATAATCTCCTAGATTGTAAGCTCCAAGAAGCAGGGCCCTCCTATCCCTCTTGTATTGTTGCTGTATTGTCTCCCGTTATATTGTAAAATGGTGAGCAAACTGTTGGCGCTATATAAATCTTGTATAATAATAATAATCTGGGGCAGCTGTGCATGCTACCCAACCAGCTTATAACTTCAGCTTGTTCAATTAAGCTTTAACAATAAAACCTGGAAGCTGATTGGTTTCTGTGCAGAGCTGCACCAGATTTTGCACTCTTCAGTTTTAATAAATCAACCTTACTAAAGCAGGTCATACAAAGGTCGAATATTTTCGATTGAAAATCAAAAATATTGTTCGTTCTGTAATTCGATGGTGCCACCAATGATTTAGAAAATCGGTTGTTTTTCACAAATTTTCCAGCATGCCCGATAAACGAAATGGGGAGGAACCACGAAAATCAGCCGGTGCCATTGCCCCACTAACAGAGCGAAAATTGGCCGATTATTCTTAGGTCCGATTTTCGAACAAGAAATTGTTCAGAAATCAACCCATGTATGGCCCACCTGAATCTTCTTCAGTCCTCTCGGGCGGCGGGCAGTCCAGGATGATGCCAAGAGTGGTGCAGATATTAATAAATAGCAAACAAAGGGCGCTATTCTCAATATTCATATACTTAAGAAAAGCAATAGTGCATAATTCAAAAATATAAAAAAAATGTGTCTAGTATCTCAGCATAATTAAGTGAATAACATAAAATAAATGTCCATTCAGATAAACAGTACATGCAGTGATTTCACTAGTGTAGCTTTCTCTGATTATTGGGAATAGCCTCTTGCTTGCTATTTACTAATTTTTATAGCAAGACACAATTTGGAGGGCTGCTTCTCCCTGATGGTACCGATTGAGATTTGGGTTGGTGTCCCTTTCTGTTGTGCAGTGGTGAAGATATGATGGCATGCTGTGCCTCTGTCTGTATCAATACACTGAGAATGAAGTGCACCATACTCAAGCAGCAGGCAATGACACCCTGCAGTCACAGTCCTCACTTTTCCTGGTCGAGTGACCTAGATGACTGAGGACAACTTGTGACAAGAAGAGCAACTGCAGAGATAGCTCTGCATTGCAGGTGAGCATTTCAGACATTTTTTTAATCTTCCAAGGGAACATTTAAAAACGTTTACCACTGAGTTGGACTTCAATCCATATTTATTCTTTAAGTATACATAAAGATAAAGGTTTTTTAGCTTAGAATAAAGAGGACAAGGATTAGAGTGCCTGTAAGGTTTTTATTGGTGTCTCCCATTAGGGAGATTCACCCTCTTTGTTTGTCCTGTTTACTTTTATTACTGCAAGTGGAAGTAGAAGAAAATTGCAAATTTTGGATTATCAGCAGAACAGGAATGGAGGGAAAATCTTCCAATGAGGACACTACTTCAGGTGACCCTGGTCACAAGCAGGGATTCCCTTGGTTTCAAAGGATTTCTGGTTATTTCATGTTTTGGCTATGTGAGAGGAAATGATGGGAAATCTCCACAATGGGACACAGAGCACAAAAAAAATTGACAGTGGTTATAATCCTACCTATTCTGCTTTGTGTCTAGTAAGGTTACATTGCAGTATAAGCCAAGGAAGCACTTAAAACTCTGTAGTATAATAATTTGCTTTACCAAACAGAAAGTCTGCACATACAACTGCAGGATACACAAATCATAACATGCAAAGTATAACAAAATATACCTACAACATGCACACTCTGACTATCTATGTGATACACTAAAACAGTTATTTAACGTGGATCTTTCTTTATGATGGAGTCATCTTCTAGGATCCAGGATCCTCTAGACTGCTTTCTGTTTCTCCCAAAGTCCTTCAACACACTGTTTCTTCTTCCAAGTCTCCAGAACCACTGTGTCATTCTCCACATGCATGTCCAAAGTCCTTTTCCCCTCCCCCTATCTCTTGCTACCTCATTTCTTGTAGGTGCTTCATAAACTAGCCCAACAGATTTATTAGCATATCAATAGAAGAGGTCTGGCTTCTAAAACAACATATGGTCTTAAAGTGTTACTAAACCCCGGACCCTGCATTCACTATATCTGGTCTCCCACAGTACACAGAACATGGAAATGCAGTTATTTTAGTAAATATAAACAGCTAAATACCTTTTATCATCAGAAGTTAGAGCAGTCTTGTGGCTTCCATCTGTGTCCAGCCCAGCACTAGCTAAAGCTTGTAGGAGGAGTGTTATTTTTTGCTCTAGGAGGATGGAAATCCCCTGACCCTCTGTCTGGACAGTGCTGATTGGCCCTGTGCTGATAACATGCACTCTCCCAAGAAAAAAAAAACCTCTATAGCAATATACACCAAACTGAGCATGTGTATGCCTACTGTTCAGTCTGGAGATAAGTGGTGGTCGCTTGAAAAAAGGGGGGGGGGGGCAGAGAAGTAAGGATCAAACAGCCTTTTTACACAATGCAGAGGATTAACCCCTTAGGTTCCACAGCGAGTATAACAAGCATGCTTTACTGCATATACAGACTGATTTTACTGTTGTGGGTTTAGTAACACTTTAATTCTATATTTATGCTATAAGAAAATCACAAGAAATAGCCATAGTAACACACCACCTTATTCTATCCAAATTGAAAAAAAAATGCCCTACTTTCATTTTTACATAGACATAATCACATTTTTACCACATAGGTGTGATTTGAGACTGCAAATGATGCCAACATCTTGGTCAAGATAGATATCCAAAGAAAAAAAATCTATAGTGGGTGTGTGGGACTTTAAGGCACCAACACAAACCCATATATGTAAAAAAACATGTTTTATTATAACAACATTAAAACAAATACACTGAGCATCTAGCATTACAAATGTCCTCTCATACACATATAATGGTGTCAATATACAAATAATGATATCAATATCATATCATAGTTCACTGGTCAATAATAATACCTCAATAACAATGGAACAGCCATATCTTAACACCCAACACATTGCAAGTTCCCTCTTCTTCAGGGGTAGAATTGAATCTTCTTATAAAAAATAGAACCTTTACAGTCATGCATTTACAAAATGGAGTATACATAACAAGAGCTGCATAGTGTCAGATGTATACTGCATAGACACTTACACCATTGGTGAGAGACATGCGTTATCAACCTATGCCAAAATTTAAAAACAGCCCAGCCCATGCACTCTAATGGTGGTCAGACCCAGAAGGGAAGGGAGGCAGGGAAGCATTAAGAAATCCAGAGGTCAGCAAAGACACTAACTAAAGAACATTATATAAACCCCAAAAATATATTTTTTTTTAAACCCAAACATCTATATTTATAGATATGGCAGCCAAATTTCAAAACTACATCAAAAACATTGAGAAAAAAGTGGTGAGAGGAACTTTGTAATGCTAGATACCAAGCTTATTTGTTTTTTTTTTTTGTTCTAATGTTGTTATTAGAGATGAGCGAATTATTCAAAAATTCGATTCGACTGATTCGGGGCGAATTCGTGAAAAAATTTTGATTCGAGTCGAATATATTCGCTGCGAATTTAACTTATAAAAGGGTGTTTCTAGGCTTCAGAGAGTCTTTATATTAGTGCAGAAACACTGTACCTTTAATTTAAATGCCCTTGGAGTCTGCTGGGGAAGAGAAATAATACTGTCAGTCAGTATGACATGCAGATGAGTGCCGTCGATCTTAGAATCACCGCACACTTCACTCATTTGGGCAGTCACGGGGCCAAAAACCAGAGTGTGGAGCCACAGTGTGGCGGTGGAGGCAGAAGCAATGGGAGGCCATACAGCACCATATGACAAAATGGTGAGGAGACCTGAAAGTGGCACATGGCAGAGTGTGGCGATGGAGACAGCAGCAATGGGAGGCCGTACAGGACCCATGACACACTCTGGACCTTCGGCAGCAGCATGAGGAGGGCGGTACAGGGGCCCATGACAGATTACGGGCCTGGCAGCAGCATGAGGAGTTGGTACGGGGGCCCCCTGGCAGATTACGGGGCCTGGCAGGCAACAATGGGATGGCCGTACAGGGACCCATGACACACTCTGACCTGGCAGCAGCATGAGGAGGCGGGGGGGTACAGGGGCCCATGACAGATTACGGGGGCTGGCAGCAGCATGAGGAGTCGGTACGGGGGCCCATGGCAGATTACGGGCCTGGCAGCAGCAATGGGAGGCCCGTAATCTGCTAGCACCCTATGACCAAAAAATGGGGG